TGTAGAGAATCAACTCACATATCAAGCAAAGAAATAAACAGACGTGAAAATGCAATAAGGAAAAAAATGCGAACAGAGTTAAGACAGTTAATGGCAGGTTGAAGTGAAAGAGGATACTCTTAACTCTGTGCTTGTATGAACAAGGAGAGGCAAGATGCCTCTAACTGTCTATGATGGCTTCTAAGGCCCTTTCAAACTGTGTTTGTATATTTCTGGACAATTTGAAACCCTCACTAATTCAGAAAACTAATAGGTTAAAGAAAAGGAATAAGTTGCAGTTGGCACAGAGAAGAAAAATTAAGTGAATAATAGAAAGAAAATGGTCTTAATTCTTATAATAAAAAACAAAACTAGTAAGATAAAGAAATTGGTAATATCACAATGTTATTGGAATGTGTGGTTGACAGCCAGGGGCTTTAAATGCATATTACCAAAGTTTAAATAATTTTGAGATGATATGACATCATAGTGCCCAGTGAGTGGAGGCAAAAACATAAAAATGAAGAAGAGTTTGGATTTTTATGTCTGCAAAATTTCATGATTATTATCCTTCTTTCCACTTAATACTCTTTAACTATATGAATCATCCATTTTCTAGTCCACCATGCCCTTCATCTCTCAACACTTAAATTATTTTCACATTCTCACTTATACCTCTGAAGCCCTTATCCTGAAAACTATTAATCTCTATATTTGTAAAACTCTAGCTACATAATTCCCCCATGCTTCTGGCACACTCACTTCTCCAACATTGCTGTCAGGTTGTTTGTGTGTGTGTATGTTTAGATGTGTTTTGTGCATGTATATTTTATATTCACAAGCTACCAAATTGGCTTATAAATAAAAGGAACTCTCATAAGCTAAGCAAATAAGCCCAAATGCCTTTTGCATTCATATGAATTTAGTAATCTTTGATAAGTTAGTTGTATTAAAAAAATTATTAGTAAGATAAAAGTTAAAACAAAGTCTTCAAAATTGTCAGCATACATTTTTCCTGGGCTTATTGGTCATTTTTATGTTTGAAGGTATTGGTTTGACACAAAAGATATAAAACTATAAACCCATCCAAAACAAAATGATCTGTGTTTGTGTGATTTTCAGTAAGTGAGACTTATTCTTGATTTAATAAAAACAGCTAAATCTCCTGAGTTATCAGCAAAAATACCTATTGTTTACCTTTAAGCTTCTTACTTAGGTAAAAAAAATATCAATGTACTTAAACAAAAATAAATATAACTGAATTAGAATAAATAAAACATTATGTTTTTAGGACTTGTGTTCATTATCAGGGAAATGCAAATCAAAACCACAATGAGGTATCACTTACCTCCAGCAAGAATGGCCTTTATCAAAAAGTCCCAAAACAATAAATGTTGGTCTGGATGGGGTGAAATAGGAACACTCATACACTGCTGGTGGGACTGCAAACTAGTACAACCTCTGTGGAAAGTAATATGGAGATACCTCAAAGAGTGACAAGTAGAACTACCATTTGATCCAGTAACCCCATTGCTAGGCATCTACCCAAAAGAACAAAAGACATTCTATAGAAAAGACATCTGCACTTGAATGTTTATAGCAGCACAATTCACAATTGCAAAGGTGTGAAGACAACCCAAGTGGCCATCAATACATGAGTGGATTAATAAAATGTGGTATATGTATACCACGGAGCTCTATGCAGCCACAAAAAACAATGATGATATAGCACCTCTTGTATTATCCTAGATAGAGCTGGAGGCTATTCTACTAAGTCCTGATAACATTCAAAAATGGAATCAAATGGATCATAGACTTAAATATACAATCTAGAATAACAACACTAAAAGCATGAAGTATAAAAGGAAAAAAATGTTAACTTTATCCAAATTCAAACTTTCTTCTTCTCAAAAACATTGTTAAAATAATAGTAATAAAAAAACCTCATACACTTTCAGAAAACATTTGCAAATTATGTATTAGATATAGTGCTTGTGTCCAGAATATATAAAGATGTCTCAGAACTCAATAACAAAATATAATTTAAAAATGCACAGAAGATTTAAACAGACACTTAACCAAAGAAGAAGTATGGATGACAAGTAAGAACTAGAGAAGATGCTTTACTTCCTTACTCATCCCACTGTAGTCCTTTGTCTTTGTTTTTCCTTGGCTCCTCCCTCTTTGCCTAGTAGGATTTCTATCAGATAAAAGCTGGGGAGCTATTGATAATATATGTCTGGATCTGAGCTGCAATTTGCATGAGATGAACAACTTTACTTGGAGTTGGCTCCTGAAAGAAATCTAGATCTTTGGCCTCAATAAAATTATGTTTTAATTAGCTCAGACATGATCATACCAATCACGGTACTCAGACCAACAAATTTTATATATATAAACTTAGGTTTGCCTGGACATATCACAAGTGTCACCTGTGGTGGAAAATAGTGGCATAAAATGTAATTTCAGTTGCTAAAAGAACTGCCTACAGTTAATGGATGTTTATCATTTCAAAGACTACAATGTCCTGTGGGACAATGTGTCCAAATCCACAGTGCCCAGTAGAAGAGCTTCACTTTATCTACCCACAGGAAATCTTCAGGTGCTCTTAGGGGAATTTCAGTTTTCCATTCCTTCCTCTTCTGGCAAAAGCACCCAGTTGTACCATTGGTCAACTCTTGTGTCCAAAGCAAATTTATATAAACAATGTTTTTCGGAGCTTCAGAAATGATGCTTACAGAATGAATCACTGTGTGAGAAATTGCTATCTTTGTTATTGGCATTCCTATGCTATTGTGTTCTTTGTGCTTTATAAAGCCTAACACTATTAAAGGATCTACACATTTTTTTTTAAGGTATGGGTAAGAGAGAAATGGTCACAATGTTATTGGAATGTGTGGTTGACAGCCAGGGGCTTTAAATGCATATTACCAAAGTTTAAATAATTTTAAGATGATATGACATCATAGTGCCCAGTGAGTGGAGGCAAAAACATAAAAATGAAGAAGAGTTTGGATTTTTATGTCTGCAAAATTTCATGATTAT